ATATTCCGCTGAAGTATACGCTGTGACGTAATAACTCTTCTTTTTATTTATTTTTTCGAGGGAAGGGGTGGTCAGAGGGCCTAGGTATAAAAGTCATGGCTCGCCACTGCTCAAAATGATGGAGCAGGTCACATATCTGGTCGGAAAAGTACATCTGTGAGACGTACCAAGGTACAGGCAGGGCCGTCCCTGGCCAAGTTGAGGCCCCACGCAAAGTTAGATGATGAGGCCCTCTGTTTCGCGAGCATCGACGGGGGAGGGGGGTTGCTAGTGGAGCCGGCGAAACCGTGCCGCGCCACACTAATTGCGCCGCATAAACGCATAGGTGCACATTTGCGGCTCAGTTGAGGCACCTTCCGCAAGATGAGGCACCCTCCGCAAGATGAGGCCCCCTCCGTGAGGTGAGGCCCCACGCAGTCTGCGTGATCTTCCTGTAGGGAGGGACGGCCCTGGGTACAGGGTACACCTATGATAGATGGTGCGGCTATAGGGCATATGTGATAACAAATACCGTCCCGAAGGACTGGGGTTATCAACCAGAAAAAGCGAGTACTGGTGCTAAACCATTAAAAGGTCGAATTTCCATGTTCAAGGCATCTTCTCCTCCAGTAAGTTCTTGCAAAGAAGATTGTAATCCCCTGATTATCTCAATGAAGGACCCTCAATTCACAGATACAGGCATTTATGTGCTTGGTGCCAAGATGAGTGGTGAGGACCCCCTAGGCCAGTTAAAAATAAATGTAAGCCAACCAGCTACTGTTCAAGCTAACGGCACCTCGGCACAGACCACTGTAACCCCCTCATCTGCCAGCGAGAATGAGAAAAATTAATAACATACTTGGATGTCTCCACAGTTCAGCAAACGATGGCGGTGGAGACAGGATACGCAGACAGAAATACTTGGTTGGATTGGGTGCTGTACTCCGCTGGGCAGGCAGGTTTATTTGATTGTGTAGCCTTTGCCTCAGCCAGACCAGGACTTGGCACCATGCCATTTCCTATAACCAAGCAATGCCGACCCCCAAGGCCATGAGTGTTTTTTTTGTTTTTTATCCAACCCAATCCTCAAAATTGCACCTCAGTCGCCTTATTCCCCAAGGTTTCCCCAGGTCGTGTGCCCCCACCATTCATACCTTATCTAGGACAGTATGACTGTTAACGTCGTAACAGCAACCCCTATGGGTCCCTAGTAGGAGTAATGCTACCGACATGGTGCAATACCACGTATAAGATCCCAGCTACCAATACTACGTTCCTCAATAATTTCACTAAAGCCTTAGCTGATGTCTGGTGGTATTGTGGTAAGAAAACTCTGCATCCCACTCTCCCTTATAATTGGACTTTTAGTGGACATGCAGGAGTTTGCTCATAATGGCGCTGCTTTTGAAACGCTGCGTGACCGAGGCTATCGATCCAAAGAGCCCCTCCGTAGACACGGGGGCTCCCAGGAGATCATCACGGTCACTTTTTTGGAGAATGCCGGGAGTCCCAGCCAGCCGTGGCGTGATCCCACTGCTGGCCAGGGACATCACCTGGCCAGCAGTGGCTGCCACACCATGGATCAGGTTATTATGCTGCGGTCCAAATAATCGCTCTGATCCGGTGAGGCGGGGGCATCTTGCGGAGGAGTAATCAGTGAGACGCCCAACACACCCGTGTCATTTGCAGCCGCAGCCATCCGCTCCAAGCCGGAATATTCTATCAAAGATATTCCAGCGTTTTCCCTGTCATGTGGCAGCGGGGGCAGAGTTTCTCCGCCCAGCATGCTGCCTGTGTCAGGCTCTCATCGAGGGGGGGCACGCCGGGATATGAGGTCTCCGTGCGGCCCCGCACCCTCAGAATACCTACCATTCCTTCCACCGGAGCTTTCGTTTTCAGTGGCTATTGCCACGACGTCTCCACACACTGCCAAATATCTGGCAACGGGGGCGAGACGAAAGCCGGTTGCACCGGGCTGGCCGGACCGTAAAACCCCTGGTGGAGGCGGCTGGCTTCGGCGGCAGTGGTGGGGGGACGATGTCATCTTCTTCTTCTTCAGCAAACGGAGCCGTAACCCGCACGGCTGGGATGGCGATCGTTGGTGGCGTCGCCTCGGCCATATCCTGGTCTCCCACGTCCACCACCTCGAGCTCGTCTTCGGCATGGTCTGGTCCCAGGCATTCGAAACAGAGCTGGTGGGGATCGGCGCCCGCTATTAAGCCAGGCATGAGGGACAGGCACAGGTTTCCTGCATTCGCTTGCCTGGAGGTAAGATACTTTTTACTTGTTTTTTTTGAATGCTTTTCTGGTCAGGGGCCTATACTACGAAGCAAGATTTTCGTTTAGCAAGCTAACTTCAGGGGTTTCCGGTCCTACGAAGCTGGTTCACTTTTTAGCAGGCTAGATCTCCACGGTAACTTATCCTGGAACCTATCCTGCTCCGGAGCAGGATAGGTTCCAGGATAAGAGATCAACTCAGTGAAAGCACTGCCTGCTGACCAATCAGAGCTCAGTGTGCGGAGGAAATACAGTTTAAACTGCCGTTGCAGGAAAGACGGCCGGCCAAAATCACCGACTGTGTGAACGTGAAGATGAATAGAATATCACCTCCCATCTTCAGAGCAATCTGACTATTAGCCTATAACTATTATACTATTATTATATTATTATGTTAAGAAAGCTTAATTAAATATCTGCCACAACATAAGTAACCGGATCAAAGTAACATTACGTAGCCTACAGTCCGCGGCACTGTGAGTGCAGACGTCGATGTGTCCCATTATCATTCATATCATATCACATCATAATGTATCATATATTTCCTTATTTGAGTCAGCTTCTTGAGCCGTATCTGGCCGTGCAACACTCACAGTGTCACATACTGTATGCAGAAGTATTATTTTAAGCAACACATTAAGTTGACGAAACACTCGAGTCAAATGTAATTAAAGTCAGATCGTGTCTTAGACGGGGCAGTGATTTCATAAACCTGTTAATGTACGCATTCAAACACTTTCTCTGTTACCAGCTGTATTCACCTTGCAGGTGCAGCTATGTGGCTTTTATCCTGGATAAAGTGTTTAAGTCATGGATGTTTAAAGTTTAACTTCTTCATATTTGACTAATATTATAGTTCACTTTTCATTCAGGAAGTATGACGCTGCGCTGTCAGTGCGCTTGTCCATGTTTGTGATTGGTCGAATGCTCCAGATACCACCCCTTTTATGTGAACGCACACCTAACTAGATAGGACACGGCTGGCGTCGTAGGACAGTTTAGCGAGAGCGTTTTTTTTTTGGATTAAGTCAACCGGATAACTCAAAACATATCCAGGATATGTTGAACTAGATTCGTAGTATACCTCCCAGGTGTTGAAGAGAAAAGGATGACAGTCAGGAGGTGTAGCTGCCTTATATACTGTGAGCCTGCGCGCGCATTCAGGTAGGCTTGCCCTGATTGGCCGGCTACGGTTATACAACTTCAGTGTGTGAACGCTCGCGTCCAGTAGAGGGCGGAGCCTGTGTGAGATAGAACATGTAATGTAATGTAATGTAATGGATGAGGAATTGGGTCTTTTTCTAAAGGGAAGTACAGGGGTTAATGTGCTGATCTACCAGTCAGAGGTTCAGTGGTTCAATCCCACCCCCTGCTGTCAACAGGTCATAGTGTCCTCGGGCATGAAACCTAACCACAAATTGCTCCCGTACACAATACACATGTCTATGCTGTGTTAATGTTTCCAGGTGGCTTTAAATAAAATCATCAGTTAAACAACATGTTATGAAATGTATTAGATTCAGCATTAGATATTGGATAGCCATGGAACTGTTTACAAACAAACATGAATTAGCAGTTTCTGAAGCAGTCGTGGTTCAGTTAAAACACCTATACCAAGCGGATGGCACCCAAATTATTCATTATTACGTGCAGTTTTTAGCATCGCTGTGTAAAGCCTTACATTTCAGACAATGGCCACATAATAAAATAAACAACCAACTACTACAACCCATAAAAAGGTTTGGGTTTAACATTCATCTATCAATTTAAAACTGACATCCCCCACACACAGCTTTACATACACCTCTACATTGGGTGAAAAGACACATAACTTGAACCAAGTTTCTGAGCTCTTGTTCCTTTTGATGACATTCCAAGCCTCATCTTGATAATCAGGGTTTAAGATCCGTACCCAACATTCTTACGCAGGATATACACCTTGATTATTATTATTGCAATCTAATAATCTTGTTCCCAGTTTCAGGGGACAACCATAACCCAAACTAGAAATGTAATTTAGACTGTAATTATGAATGTAAATACAAAGCTTTTACCAACATTATTTATTTACTGCAACAGACAACAATATTTGATGGTCATTCTTGTAGAAGAAGAGACATGGAGTGAAGATGACAGTTGTTGGTAATTTGAGGACAGAGAAATCAACATGGATTAAATGGTGTGAAGTGACTACAGAGCTAACATGTTGACACAGCAAAAGGCAGAGAGCGCTTTAAAAAAGGAAAGAGGGAGAGTGAGGGAGAGTGAGGGAGAGAAAGAGCGGAAGAGGAGGACAAGGCAGAGAGAGAGAAGAGAGATCACAGAGAGAGAGAGCGTGTAGGGAGATGGAGAGCTCTCCCAGAAGAGTTCTGGCGCACAGAGAGATCTCACTGCTTGCAGAAATACAGAAAAAGAGAAGGACTGGAAATAATGAAATAATACAGAGTGAACTGGCCTCACTCTTCTTTGCATACTTATCACTGCTGTACATGTAGGGAAATCCAGTGGTACAGAGATTCCATGCCCAGGAAAGGTAAGAAGAAGGACATGACTGGGGACTTGAGAACAGCATTGTGTAATGTGAGGCTGAAAAACAGGACATTTAGACAACTTAAAAAATAAGACAGAAAGGATAGCATCGTGAGGATAACGAATAAGAACTGGTACACAGAGGTAAAGGAAAAAGACAATTGGGAATATCCAGGGTACACAGACTTGCCCTGGAGTAGTCTACTTTACTCTAGATGTCCAAGTCCTCCCGACTGGGTGCTCCCGCAGTGGGGTCTAAGAGCCCCAGGTTGAGAAAAGAGCCACAGAGTAATCGTTCATGTATGCTTCGGATTGGAGAGAGGCTGATGAGGGCCGGCAGTGAGGGGAACCTGGTTGAGAGACCCATACCAGTCCAGAGCCGGAGCCAGGCCTCTTCAAGCAGACTCGCTCAAGGACCGAACGGTCGGACACAACCTATAACCCTGGAGGACAAACCCACTGAGCATACAGAAGATAACTCCAGCAAAGGTAAGGGACCTCTCTCTCTTAAAATACAAATACTTTATTTAACAGCGTAACATAACATAACATAACATAAAATAACATAATACAGCCATATGAAATGCTTTGTTTACTTTTCTACTACTTAACTTCTTAAAAATGAGTACGTAGCTTGGTTACTTCCTCTGTTCTATCAGATTGTGCACCTGGGCTGTTATTGATATACTAAGCCTGTGTTTATTTCTATTCAGAGAGCTTCCTGCAGTATTTCAACTAATTCTTAGTTCCCACAAGAGGACTTTTACGCTAAATGTTTTGTCCTAACAATGTTATTGTTCCAGGAACATTTGAACAGCACTCATAAATGCTGGTTAGGACCAACAGAGGAATGCTCCAGATATGTTTCAGAAAAACAGAGACAAAGAGAAAATTCTTCACCCTAACTGGCTCTGCTTGTGGTCAATGTAGATATTATTAATAGCAGTGATAGTAAAGATATGCAAGAAATTGTATGCATATGAGCTACAGGCCATTTACAGGAGAGAAACACATTACTTCATCAGCCCTATGAAACAGCAACATGTTACATTTTTATGAAACGTTTCAGTTTGCCGCTGTTTCCATGTGTGTTGCTGCTTATTAAATGTAATGCTTGCCTAATCTTCTAACATTGGATGCACGAATTCGGAAAAAATGGGAGGATCTGACTAAAGAGAATATGTCAATAACGACATAAAGATATTTCTTTATTGTTTAATTTGTTGAATAGTAATATATTCATATGTTGGCTAAGGGCTTCTAATAGTAGATTTTTTTTCTTTTCCCACTGTTTGTGTCGAAGTCTTGTATTTATAGGCATATATTTAACATATAATACTTCCAATTAGGAAGACAAATATGATCTTGGTCATGTTATATAGTCATACCAGTATTCCAAATAGCAGTCAGTACAGCAGAGAGGGATTGTATGTGTGTCCTCACACCACATAATGCTGCTGCTGCAGGGCTGCATTAGTTGATGTCATGCTGTCAAGAGTTCATGCATGAGTTGTGATCCATCATAGTGTCAGTTGGTCAGTCTCGAAGTAGGACATTGCCCTCTCATTCACGACTACTCTGACTTTTAACAGGTCAATACAGAACTTTTGATATGATTGTTCAGAAGTTGTCCCATTACTTTATCATAGTGCGCTTACATACAGTACCAGTCAAAAGTTTGGACACACCTTCTCATTCAATGTTTTTTTATTTATTTTAATTGTGTTCTACTATGTAGATTAATACTGAAGACATCAAAGCTATGAAAGAACACATATGGAATTATCTAGTAAACCAAAAAGTAAAAAGAAATCCAGAATATGATTTTTATTTTAGATTCTTCAGAGTGGCCCCCTTGTGCCTTAACGACAGCTTTGCACACTCTTGGCTTCTCTCAGTCAGCTTCATGAGGCCGTCACCTGGAATTGTCGCTTTTTGTTAACAAAATCAACTTAATTCGGACTAATTTTAGCATTGCTACTTTTTAATCTGAACCTCGAGTCTACTGTCCTCTCTTGTCTGAATTTACCCTATTTCTCTACACAAGCTTCCTGACGTTGTATCTAATAAGCACCTGTCCTCCTACAAGTTAGATAATAATAACAATTGGTAATATCCCCCCAATCCCTGACAGGTCTTTCCACCATTGACCCAAGCCTACTCTTAAAAATAAATATCTCTCTCACCTCTGGCTAGTCCCCGATGGTTTCAAGACGGTGAGCGTCCATGCTATTACATTTTTTTTCCCCTTGATCCAACACAACAAAATAACTATAGACCTATTTCAAAAATACCATTTTTCTCTAAAATTATTTAAAAAATATTTAAATCAGCTCATTGAGGTCATTTAAGGTCACACTATTTTAAATCTGGATTTTGTCACCAAACTAAAACAGAAACAGAACTACTAATGGTGCACTGGCTGACCATGGGGCACATTCTATCATGGTCCTTCTTGAATTAACAGCTGCATTGGATTTCCGATTGTGTTTTAAAGGCTCAATAAATTGGTTGGTATCTCATGCTCTGATATAAAAAAAATGTGTTTATGCTATTTTTCGAATAAGCAGTTTGAGGTTACTGTTGTGTTCAAAATTCCAGGAAAGACAGACGACTTCTAAGTTTAACTATTTATTATGAGAGAGCAAAATATATATATCACTTGGCCAAGGACTCCGTCACGTCATAGAAATCACAGACTGCAAAGCTGTAATCTGTCAGTCTATTTCCGGACAAGAGCCTCGAACCTCGTGCGTGCATACATTTTTATTACACAGGGCGTTGCCCGTACATTTATGATTGGTCAAGACTAGCTGAAGAGATACCATGGTTTAGACTTGGTTCTCTCTTGGTTGGTGTGCAGACTTAGAAAAAAGTCTCTTGGCAACACGATCCTCCAATCAGCATTCGGCCGGCCTGTGGAAGTCCCTCCCTACTCTGACACCATCATACGTAATTTGTTTTCGCTAACGTTTCGACAGAAAAAGTGGAATCTTCATAAGGCTGCTTCCTAGCTGTGTGTGGGAGCGGAGCTCACCCAAAGCTCAAGGCCAGAGTGATGTCCTGTTTATGAATAACTCTTTGTATTCTTCCAGTGTCTGCACCTGACCTTGCTACATTAGTATTGCAAGCTAAAGACGTCTATTTATTCCAAAGTCACAGCCACATAAATGAGCACAATAAGCTTATAATGTAATAATAAGAATCAGTCTTTCTAATTTTATATACAAATAGCCTCCACATTACCATAGACAAATATGTATCCTAAGCTGCTCCATTACTCTGAGGAGTTCCACAGGGTTCAATCCATGGCCCCATCCTTTTCGCCCTCTACAAGTTACCTTTAGGCAACCTGCTTAGTCAATTTCACATTTTTATGTGAAGGACACGCAGATTTACCTTTCAGTCAAGCAAAATGACATAATATTATCAAAGAATGGATGTAAATGAACTTCCTCATATTAACTCTGACCAAATCAGGGTCTCAGATGTACAATCCTGTATTGGACCATTTCAGCTGTGGCTGTACCTCGTTATTTACAAAAAATAATGTTGCTCTCCTTGATGAGGTCGGTTAACATAGCTTTTTACAGACACAGGCTTCCATGAGTCATGAGAGCCCACAGCAATGTATTCATTTGTGTGTGTGTGTGTGTGTGTGTGTATGTGTATTTACACACATTATACTATTATTTTTCTTTCTGAGGACAGTTCTATAACATGAGGGTGCATGTCAAAGTCATAATGCACATGTACTACATGTACGAGTCAGAATGAATTAATATGTGCATTAGTGCGTGCCACACTATAAGGGTCAATGATAATAAGGAGATGTTAGATAATGATGACTTCATGCGCTGTCAGTAAATGCTACAATTATGCACCCTTGTAAGGGAAGCTCATTTATTTGTTTGTTGTAGTATTTTGTATTTTTGTTAAGGTATGGTTGTGTGACCTTTTTTGAAGGAGAATGGAAGAAATACAAAAAGAAATGTTGAACTTACAAGAGTCCTTTGCGATATCAGTGTTTCCCCTAGGATGGAGTCATAGCAGCGGTGCTAAGGAACGTGGGCCCAGCATAATGTGAGCGCGGAGCGCGTGGAATTTTTTAGTGTGTGCACGTGCGAAGTGTGTCCCGCCAATTTGTTTCTATGTGTCTGCCAGCACAAGAAAGGCTCTTGAGGCCTAGTACCAGGGCCGGTTCTAGACAATTTGCTGCCCTAGGCGAGATTTTAGGCGAGATCTACAAAAGACAAATACACTACAAAAACAGAAACTTATTGACATAGGTAATAGACGTCAAAATGGCTTCAAATGTATTCAGTATTGTATGAACATGTTTTAATTGGGGGGTGGACATCACCTCCTCTAGGGGGGTCCGGGGGTATGCCCCCCCGGGAAGATTTGTTTGAACATTTTAAAGTAAAATGCTTCAATCTGGTGCACTTTGAGCACACAATTACTAGAGACCTGATCTAGGGGGTACAACTCTAAACACCCATCTGAAAAAGATCGGTTTACATTTTAATAATCAAATAAGTATGTGAACATAACCAATAACCTACCATTGCCAATAACAAATAAATGTAACTTATTTTATTTTTGTTGTTCATTTATATCTTATTTTACCAGTTAACATTTATTTATTTATGCATATTTTTGTATCAAATACGTTTATTTTCTACATATCTTCTAGAAACATATTTTCTCCCACGTTACGTTTGTTATGAACGTATCTCAAATTATTATTAATTTGGTTATTTTCTACATATCTTTGCCATTTATTGTCTTGCTTATAATAATGATAATAGTCATTTATAAATATCATTTTAGAGCACACATTTGAAATCGACGTTAAATTAAAATCAGTAGGGTGTAATTTGAACACAGTCTCAAAGGCAATGTGAGCGTCCATTCCCATTGGATAACGGAGGATTTTACACCCGGAAGTAAGTATTCTCCTTACTATCGATTGATTTTACAGTGATATCTGCACTACTCATCAACTCAAAAACACCAGATTATCCTTGTTAATTACACAACATTGATTGGTTTAAATTGTGTACAATACTTTTGTATTTTTCCCCTTCGATTCGGAGAAACAAATCTTTTTTCTGAGTTTAGGATGGCAGAAGACACGACACTACCCAGAATCCTCAGCTACCGTTTGGGACTACACCATGTGCTTTGCTTGACAAACCCTGTGATTAGTCTTCAAGCGCTGTGATTGGATGTTGGAGTGGCAGTGCGCGAAGTTTACACCGTCAAACAGCAGTTTGAAATGGAATGAAACCCATCGACGGCACACTATTCAAAACAGGAATCGAACGTGTCCTACCCCCCCCCCCACATGAAAGGGATGTGCTATTTTGCACATCCCTTTCAAGATTTCATGATTTTCTAAGGTTTATTGACATATCATATACACAACTACGGTGTAGTTATGCAATGAATGAAACACTTGGGTCACAGGTTCCTCAACAGTGCAT